GTGAATCAAATATAGGTATGTACAAGAATACATACAGAAGATTAAATTATTATAGTATTTACGTCTGAATATAAAATCCATTCTTTCTTTACAGACAGAATTGAAGAGTTGGAAATTGAATTAAAACAGTCGAAGATGAAATCCACGCCCAAGAAAAAAGAAAAAAAGATACTTTCTACAGATTTTGATACGAGTGAATCAAATATAGGTATGTACAAGAATAAAAGCAAATAACGTAAAGAAAAAAATTACTTGACGCTAGTACATGATTAGTACAACCAATGTAGAAGAATTGCTAAATGACGATAACCGGCAAATTCTAATTAAAGAAATTTATTGCGAAAAATATTACCTCGGCTAGGGTTTGAACCTAGACTTCCCTACACTCTAGGCGGGCGTCTCAAGTATAAAGGTAAATGTTTTTTCGTTTATGTGCTTACTGTGTGAGTTAATATTTTTAGATACAACATCACCTAAATCAAGTTCGGATGTTGGTATTAATGTATCATTGGGTGAATTGAGTGTAAAGCGCGAAGTTCAAGACAAAAGCGTTATGACTGACGAATTTTATAACATAAAAGATGATCCACATCCATTGTTTTGTGCAAAATGTGAAACTCATTTGCCTTCGGACTTAACTCCTGAAATGATATGCAAAACTATGAGCGCATACCCAGAATTACTTTCCAGAGATTTGTCTCCTCCACTGAGAAAGACTTATTTGCCGCCGTGTTCATTATCCAGTAAGTAGCAACGATTCTAATATGATCTAATGTAATATTTATGTTATATTATTTACATTGCATTATAAACATTATTATATTCATCTTACATTTAAAAAATTCTCTTTAGGTACGTACATGGACTCTGTAAATAGAAATAATAATCACTCTAGAACATCTGTGCCACAACTTAGTCCTTATAGTTCATATAGTGAATCGATAGCTGACAATTCGAAATCTCAATCAGGACGATCATCCTCAATAGACCAAATAAGCGAAAATGTTGAATTAAGCAATGTGGATATTTCATGTATACCAGTTGTAGCCGGTCTATCCAATAATCTCGGTTCTGTTCCTACAGCACTCGCTTTATCGCAAAATAGAACTTACGCAAGGCAAGATTTAAGTTCTGACTTGTTAACTGAACACTCTTCGTCTATTAAAGATTTAGAAAGAAAATTTGAGTTATTAGAAAACAAAATGAAAAGGATTCAGAGGCTGAAGGCGAAAGATAACAATTCCTGTTGTCGTCGCAGTATAAATGGTGGCGATAATACATTGAATTCGAATCTGATTTCTATAATATGTAAAGGTATGGCAGAATATTATGATGAGAAAAGACAGGCGCAATTTAAAAATAAGCGACTAAATAATTCGAAAATGTGTATACGCGCGAAAAGGGCGAAGCTGAGAAAGAGACAACTGTTGAACACAAGTAATGCATGTAAAAATATATCGCATGAACCTGAAAATGAAGACCGTCAAGTACGAGATATGTCTTGTAATACCGAGAATGCTACAATGACGACTGATATTTTATCACGTGAGCATACGTTGTCTGTAAAGGATGATTTACTTTCGAATGTAAATACCTCTAGTACGTTTCGTAACGGCATTGGTGAATTTGACAAAAGAGAGTTTGTTCATCATGAAAAAAGTATATTGCATTCAACACACGTCGAATCTGTCGAAAATAATTCAACAATATCACGTTTAAGCACTGATGAAACATGTGGAAGCG